TCTCTCTCCTTCTAAGCCCTACTTTGAAACACTCCCCCTAAAGGCTACACCACATGTCCCTCACCTACAACAATCCATCCATTTGTGATCTGTAACTTCTCATTTCTTGACACAGTATGTTTTGGAAAGATCTCCCCTTAATTTTCAAGCACCAACTGATCAACACCCCTATAAGTTTCTTGCACTTGAATAATACTTAATGATCATTGTTAACATGTTTATAGGCAGGGGCGGATCCACAGTGGGGGCAGCTGCCCCCACTGGAATTTTAAAAAATTTTGGAGACTAAGTGTAATTTTAAAAAATTTAGAATTTATTAGATATTTGCCCCCACTAAATTTTTTTTAAAAGATTTAAGGGTAGTTATGTTAATTTGACAAATATATGAGTCTCACTTGTAAATATCAATGGAAGATGATATCAAAAATTTGGACATTTAAAGATTAACTAATATGTTACGAAATAGGTTAGCCCTCTCATTTGTTTTATGTTTATACATCGAACTAAATTTAGGGCATGTAATCCTCTTTTTTATTTTATGTTTATATGTTAGAATTGAAAATTAGGATTTGTCGTCCTCTTTTGTGGTTTATTTTTTAAATGTTGAATTGAAATTAGTGCTTGTAGCTTTCTGTTGTATTTTATTTGCTGCATGTTGAATTAAAAATATAACATTGGGGCTTGTAATCATCTCTTATGTTTTATTTTTTATGTATTGAATTGATACTAGGATTTGTAGTCTTGTATTTATTTTTCTATGTTGAAATAAAATTGGGGCTTGTAGTCCTCTTCTATGATTTATTTTTTTATATATTTAATTGATATTTGGGTTTGTAGTCCTCTCTAGTATTTTATTTTTATATGTTGAATTGGAATTAGGACTTGTAGTCCTCCATTATAATTAGACTAAATTATTTTGATTTGGTAGTTTGAACAGTTTTATTGTGAAAAGTTAAGTACTTCATATACTTAGGTTTAGTTTACTAGAATAATTATAGTTTAAGTTAGTTTCGATTGTTTGTTAAAATTTAATGATGAATATTAAGTTTGTGATTGAACAAATTAATTTTTGAATTAGTTATGAAAATTTTTCTTAAAATTTAATATATGATTGAGCCCAATTTTGCGGTTCAAAATTTTTTTGTTAGGTGTTATAGATAAATCTATAATGAGTTTTTTTTGTTGGCTCATTTTGTATATCGCTCATGTATATGAATTGCATCTTTAATTAGTGTTCTATTAATAAAAATATACTTTTGTGAATATTTTAAATTTTAATATTAATATAGTTTAGGTTGCCCCCACTGGAGAATATGTCTGGCTCCGCCCCTGTTTATAGGTCATGTGTTGTGTTCCACAACATTGTGTATGCGGTAGAATTTCATTTGTTCCTTCAGAAGTTTGCATATGCATATTTTATTCAAGGGCAATTAACCATCATGTGGCAAACATGACCCAGATGGTAGCATGAGACTTTGTTTTTTTCCAGATCTAATTTGCCGCATGAAGAGGGACAAGTTTACTGCTACTGAAAACAACGAGATATCTTCCTTCCTAGAACGTGCATTTGTTCGCCTTGAAGCATGGTTTCAATGGTTTAATACTACACAGTCAGGTAAATTTCGACTTATTTTTCTCCATTCTACCGAATCGCTGCATAGAATTTTTGTTCACAGCCACATCAATTTGGGTCACTCAGAGAGATGGAAATGAAGTGTACAATCTTTACCTCCAGCTTTCTTTGCATGTAACCAAAACCTGCTTTCTCATTCTGGTGTGTCCAAGTTCTATCATTGCGGTTATAGAAGAAAGAGTTGTTACTGGTTGCTCTAGTGAGAACTCAGCTTGGCAAACACAAAAGCAGTTCAGGTCTAAAGACTGTCTTAACTACCGTTAGATTTTTTTATTTTTGTTGGTCCACACTAGTTGCTTAAGATTTAAGGGTTTGAAGTTGGTTTGAGGCAGTTTTTATAGAAGTTCAAGTCACAGTAAATTTTCAGTTCAAGTCTAAAGACATCCACTTCGTGTTGATAAAGTTAGGTTCTTACTTCCCGCATCAAAATAAATAACAAGGGTATAGTTATAGTTCTTATACTAAAAATAGGTTAGTACTAATAATATAAAAAATTAACCATTGATGTTATTTGTTATGACTGTTTCCTCAGATGTATCAGTTTTTTGTTTCAAACATATCTTTTATCTCTATGGTGCATCTGTAGGAATCTCAATGTCCATCTTATCTCTTTTTCGATAAGAAACAACAATTTTATTGATAATCAACGGTAAAGGATTACAAAAAACAAAACAAAGTTGGACACGTTGTCCAACCAGAAAAAGGCATACAAAATCCAAAAGAAACGCACAAAAACTAGAACTTGAAAATTACAATTCAATAGTTGCTGTCCAACAAAAAGTAATGTTCTAATGCTTATCAAGGGGGAAAAGATACCTCAATGTGCTATTGAATTTTTCAGAGTCAAGAGATCAGTAAAATCATGTGTTATTAGAGATATCTCAATGTCTTAATGCTTGGCTCAGTCTCTTCATCTCCACCCTTCTTGGAGCTTTTAGAAACATGTCCACTTTTAATGTCATTTAGACAGCTTGTGCAATATTTTGTCACAAGGAGACTGTCTTTAATCTCAAAATTTTGGTTAGAATGACAAAAAGGTTCTGATGTAGCCAACTCAAGCAATTAGTTACTCAGTCTTGAGGCTTTATAAGGTATTGTCTGGCCTTATGCTAGGACTATCATTACAAACTCAAGTGTTTATTTGCAGGACAAGATAAGAGCAGCTATTTTTGGCATGGAAGGGACAATGCAACCAACCGAGAACTAAATCCAAAGGTTGTGCTTCAAAACATTCTACTATCTTGCTTTCCATCTACTTATGTTCTTTTAAATATTTTGTTTCCACTACACAATGTGAAACTATAATTTAATTTTTGGCATTGTGTGTGGTATCACTGCTAATGTTTAAACTGTTTCTTTTGTTTGGGAAAACTTTTGGGGTTGTATATGTGGAGTGTACTCGTTATAATGGACACTTCTTTAAAAAAAAATTGATTCTCCAACTCGTTAGACCACCAGCCAGGACCAATTGGCAGTTGAAATTGTGTTGAATGGAGCCTTTCTTCTGAATTCAATTTGACCATCAGGGTATACTTTTTTCAATAATCTTCAAGGTGTGTTCATGGGTGAATGGTATACTTGCTTTGGGGTTGTGGGTTTGGTTCTGCATATTTGTGTTGAATTGCAATGCAAGTCTCAACTGAACAGAAATTTATCTACTTGGGGTTTTTGGTTTTATCAATTATTTTAAAAGTCAATTAATTTTCAAGCTATTATCATCAGTTTGGTAGCTTGAAAACTGTAATTTTTTCAGAGGATGATTAAAAAAAAGTTAGTCACATGATAAAGCATGTCTGATAGAGAGGACAAATGTAGGATGAAAGAGTAAGACTTCTATTTTCGGTATTGTGATACTGACAGAACCTAAACTCCTCAGTGGAGATAAGTTAGTCCTGGTTACTTGATAAATTAATTGTATTTGATTTGGTGATCTACGAACCAACCATAGGCCACAGTTGACTTCAGCCAAATACGAAACCTGGATCTTTTTTCTGTTCTTGTCGCTATCAATGTTATATCTGATTGAAAATTCCATTTTGATGTGGATCTTTATGCTGTTCTTTTCATTATCAATGTTGTGTCTGATTGAAAAGGATTTCATCTGTCAAATTCATCAATAAGTGTATTGGTTCTGGCATCTCCAGACACTATCTTCTGGGTTGGATGATTATCCTCGTGCGTCACACCCAAGTGAAGAAGAACGCCACGNGATTGAAAATTCCATTTTGATGTGGATCTTTATGCTGTTCTTTTCATTATCAATGTTATGTCTGATTGAAAAGGATTTCATCTGTCAAATTCATCAATAAGTGTATTGTTTCTGGCATCTCCAGACACTATCTTCTGGGTTGGATGATTATCCTCGTGCGTCACACCCAAGTGAAGAAGAACGCCACGTAGATCTTAGATGCTGGATGCTTCTTGCAGCAGATTGTATGCATTCAATTTCAGAGCTTCTTGAGAACGGAAGGGAACTTGGGAGGGTATAGTAATTTTGAAATATATTGGTGCTTTTGAGTTTGTCCATCAAGCTATCAATGTTTTATAGTTAATTGATGCAGGAGTACAGCTTGACAGCAAAGCTTCTCTCAGATTTTGAACTTCTAAATCAGGTTTGTCTTGAGTTGTAAATTACGAGAGTCGTTCAGATCCTATTGCTCATAACCTTCTTTTGATCCTTGAAAAGAGTTGGGAATATGTAATGATACAAACACTTTTTGTGGTTCCACAACTGTGGTAGTATTGTTTATTTGGGATAAAACTTCCATAGGGATGGGAAAGTATTATTATATTATTCTAGATAAACACTAAGGAGTTGGGTAACTCCTGTTGTACTTTAATATCTTATGTATCAGATGTGGTCATTGTTTTTTCAGATGCACTTTGATAATGTCTATGGCGCTTATTTTGATTTTGGAAACCATACAGAGAAGGTATGCCGTTTGTGCTTTTCTATTCCTCATTCTGGCATTAACTTGTAGTCATCATCCAGGTTTATGACGGAAACTCTTTTTCCCGTCAACTGTACAATCTTCTTGCCATCTATCTTTTTCCATATAATAGTGTTTCTATTTGTGTAAAATGACAGATCTTTTGTCTAGATACGAATATTATAATGTAGATTGCTTAAAGAAATTGAGCAAAACTGATGTCTATGCATGCATCAAGTCTTCAGAATCAGGTCTAACATGGAAACTATTTAGTTGTATGATCTTGTTGAATTTTGTTGGTACCCCATTAGAAATTACAAGTGTGTGTGAGGAGAAAGATGATAATGCCATTATTGTTTATGCATTTCAAGCAAAGGCAATATGAGCTCACCAAGAGAGTTCAATAGCTGCATATGGATGAGATTGTTGAGTGGAAGATGGTACACGGGGATGTGCATTTAGAGGTGGAATGGAATTAAGGAACCATTCGAGAATCTGCAATCAGTGACTTCTATTTTACAACAATTACATGCTGACTCCTGCATAATTTCTTGTCCCTTTACTGTACTCAAAAAACATATTGCTCATTACTGGCTATTTCTAACACTTCTCTCATTCTTTTAGGTTCGTTTAAGTTGGCAAGCAGTGCAGACAGGTGGAAATTACCCAAGTCGAGAGCTGGTTCGAGAAGCGTTGGAGGATCCAGTGCTGAGACTGGTTCCCCACATTGGCTATGTCAGCCTTTTCCCTTTTATGGGTAGGGTTATACCACCTGTAAGTTGCATGAAGGATTCTCTCATTGACAATGTTTCTGGGTCATTTCTGTTTGTGCTTGTTAGCTATATAATGCATCCTCATATGAGGATAGTTTCCCCTTTTCTTCCTCCTCCCTGATTACTTTTGGAAGTTATTTTCATCTAGTCATGTCTAACTGCTCGTACCTGTTAATCACATGCAGGATTCATGGATCCTAGAAAAACAGCTCGAACTCATTGCAAATAGGAGTCTGTTGTGGACCGACTTTGGACTCCGGTCTCTTGCCAAAACAAGGTTATACAAACAGCTCAAATGCATTTATCATGTTTGTTTCCTTTGCTCTTAAGTCATAAATTTTTGCATTTGATGAGGAATAAAAATAGCATGTGTCATCTTTTGATGCCTCAGCTCATTGTACATGAAACGCAACACTGAGCATGATCCACCTTATTGGAGAGGTCCAATATGGATGAACATGAATTACCTGATTCTTTCCTCTCTCCACCATTATTCCAAAGGTGTGCACATCAAGAAACAAATGAAATTATTTTCCATAAAACTCCATACTTGATTTTACGTTTGATGTTCCTTTTTTATCTTTGATTACTGTAGAGGATGGACCATACAGAGAAAGAGCCGAGGCCATCTACAATGACTTGAGGAGCAATTTGATTAGGTACATTTCGTTGTTGCTATGTAGATAATGCCTTCATATTAAGCCTCTGAATTTTTCACGTGGACAGCGTGCTCATAGTAGTTTCTGTGAATTCCTATTGCGCAGAAATGTGGTTCGGAACTATCATCAGACTGGTTATTTGTGGGAACAGTATGATCAGAAGAAGGGGAAAGGGAAAGGTGCACGCCTGTTTACTGGTTGGACATCACTTGTTCTATTGATTATGGCAGAAGCTTATAGTGAATGTTAAAGATTTGCCCACTGATGTCTGTAACATCCCTAACCCCCCCACGCTCCCACCCGTTGGAAAAAAAAAAACCCCAAAAATACAAAATAAGGAAAGAAAAATGATAGGGTAGTGTTTATGATTAGTAATGTATGATTTTAATTTGAAGGCGGAAGAACACAGTAAGGTATCAATGAGGGTGAGTTGTAACTTCGTAATAATTGGGGTGCTTGAGTTCATGTTTATAAAGTAAAGTTGCCACTTGCTGGTTTTTCGTTTANCACATGCAGGATTCATGGATCCTAGAAAAACAGCTCGAACTCATTGCAAATAGGAGTATGTTGTGGACCGACTTTGGACTCCGGTCTCTTGCCAAAACAAGGTTATACAAACAGCTCAAATGCATTTATCATGTTTGTTTCCTTTGCTCTTAAGTCATAAATTTTTGCATTTGATGAGGAATAAAAATAGCATGTGTCATCTTTTGATGCCTCAGCTCATTGTACATGAAACGCAACACTGAGCATGATCCACCTTATTGGAGAGGTCCAATATGGATGAACATGAATTACCTGATTCTTTCCTCTCTCCACCATTATTCCAAAGGTGTGCACATCAAGAAACAAATGAAATTATTTTCCATAAAACTCCATACTTGATTTTACGTTTGATGTTCCTTTTTTATCTTTGATTACTGTAGAGGATGGACCATACAGAGAAAGAGCCGAGGCCATCTACAATGACTTGAGGAGCAATTTGATTAGGTACATTTCGTTGTTGCTATGTAGATAATGCCTTCATATTAAGCCTCTGAATTTTTCACGTGGACAGCGTGCTCATAGTAGTTTCTGTGAATTCCTATTGCGCAGAAATGTGGTTCGGAACTATCATCAGACTGGTTATTTGTGGGAACAGTATGATCAGAAGAAGGGGAAAGGGAAAGGTGCACGCCTGTTTACTGGTTGGACATCACTTGTTCTATTGATTATGGCAGAAGCTTATAGTGAATGTTAAAGATTTGCCCACTGATGTCTGTAACATCCCTAACCCCCCCACGCTCCCACCCGTTGGAAAAAAAAAACCCCAAAAAATACAAAATAAGGAAAGAAAAATGATAGGGTAGTGTTTATGATTAGTAATGTATGATTTTAATTTGAAGGCGGAAGAACACAGTAAGGTATCAATGAGGGTGAGTTGTAACTTCGTAATAATTGGGGTGCTTGAGTTCATGTTTATAAAGTAAAGTTGCCACTTGCTGGTTTTTCGTTTAATTTGAATTTCCATATGAAGGGAATTGTGTTACTTGAGCAAGCCAACCCATCAACCCATCAACTAGAATCCGATATCAGATTTTCCAGAATAAGCCCAAGCCCACCTCTGATTGCCTGAATTCTGGGTCAATATTCAGGCCCACCTATCGAATTTGTGCATAGACCAAAACTACCCAATTAATTTCCCAACTGGGATTTTCAAAATTTCGGGCCTTTATTTAGAACTCGGGTCTCTACCTTTGGGCTTTGGGAAGCCTCAAAGTCTATGATTTTGTGGCCCAGGCCCAACTTTGCAAAGGTTCGACACACCTCAACACCCAGTTTGAGGATTCCTGGGCTGGTATTCGGCCTCTTATATTAACTTATTTGGATTTAAGTCTGTCAAGGAAATTTATTTGTTATGAAGTATTTTTTGCCAATTTTATCAGATTATCCCTTCTTTTTAAAAGTGAAGTAAAACTAAAATTCTAAAAATTCTTAAATTTTTAGAGTTTGATTAACATTAAAAAAATTTCTTTCATATTTATCAATATTCATATATAGGTTAGGATTATATATTTTTTATATACATAATAACATTAAAAATAAATAGTAACATTTAAATACAAAAAAAAAATATCATTTAAACACAAAAAAATAGTAACATTTAAACATAGAAAAATAGTAACATTTAATATTAATATTTTTAAAAAATATCAATAGTAACATGTTCAACAAAAATAGTAACATGTTTAATAAAACTAGTAACATATTCAATAAAAAAATAGTAATATAGAATATTGAAAAAAATTAAAAATATAAATAGTAGCATTAAAACTCATAACCAGATGAAAAAATCTCTAATTCTTCAGCATTCAAAAAAGTAATAACATGCTCAATAAAAAATAATAACATGAAAAAAAAATATTGATATGTGTTAGTAAATTACTTTTTGAAATTGATATTACTGAACTAATGTTACTATGCTAACATCAAGTACTTAGTGTGCACTACCCATGTTACTTTTTTCAAAATCTCGAACTCGTTCTCCAACTTTAATCTTCATCCATTTCAAATTAGTCTCAAATCTCGAAAGCCAATTATTTAAATGTATAACAGACAAAATAATTACTAAGAATTTGAATTTAAAGTATTATGGAAAGTTTGTAATCGACAATTTGCTTGGTTTATTCTGTTGTATTCCCAAGTCTCCGCACAAGAACCCTCAATGTGTATATGGTGTATGTAAGTGGGTGAGTGTCACTCTAACTCGGGTTCAATGCAAGCAAAGGGGAAATGGATGTATGGTGGAATGAATGAAATGTGTGTGCGCATAAAAGTGCTCCCCAAGCGCAAGAAGTCTTTTGAATGTCGTATTTTATTTGGAAAAGTATTGTAAGGTCGTCTCCTCAGAGAAGGAGGTGATTCGTGTTAAAGGTGATTTTGGCAAAAAAACAAAGTGTAAAATTCTTTTGTTGTTTAAAGTTTGGTTTGTCATTGTGTTGTGATGAAAATGAAATGGTAAACAAGTGGTGACTAATCCGAAGGGTTCGTTCCAATGGGAATGTCAACTCAATTCAAGACCTTCCCCCAATGATGTCTAGATATTCGATTGATTAATGGGAAATGCGAGACTAGGATGGAGGTGAGGATTCAAGCATACCCCGTGACAATGTCTACGGTGTATCAAGAACTCACAACCACATCTACACTCAACCTAGTCAAACCGAACCAACATACACTGCGAGGGGGAAAGAAAATGAGTTGAAATGGCATACCCAAGAGGAGGTCTCTCTTAGATTAGCCGTAAAGGTTTAGCTACTCATGCTTAAAGTAAAGACAACAATGTAATGAANGAACCAACATACACTGCGAGGGGGAAAGAAAATGAGTTGAAATGGCATACCCAAGAGAAGGTCTCTCTTAGATTAGCCGTAAAGGTTTAGCTACTCATGCTTAAAGTAAAGACAACAATGTAATGAGAATATATTGTGAAGAAATGAGGATTTGAACTAAGTTGATACAAGAAAACTTAACTATGAAGAGAGAAATGCAATACCCATTTTAAAACTAAAAAAATGAAGCTTGAATAGCATTAATGGTGAAATCCAACATATAAGGCTAAACTTTAAATGCACTTGCAATAAATGACATCAAAGACATCCAACATAGCTTAAACAAGTCTTACAAGAAATTACAAGGCAATGTATAGAAGGAAATGCCAAAATATTAACTTCTCTCTCAAGCACTGTTCATCTTCTTCCTTAGACTCCTTCTCTCTATATTACAATGTATATTTCATAATGCTCAATAATGGTGGAGGAGCTTTCCCAAAAACATCCATGGAGACCTCCCCTAGTTGTGTGATGTGATTCCAATCAATAGGGAGCTGAAAGAGATGAGTTGAACAGGGTAGTGCAGGCATAGCCTGCACACCCGGCATCTTCTCTCTCCTCTCTCCTCATTAATGTCAAAACATCCAAAAGTCCAAGCATGGTTGAGAAAAGGGGTGTCCAGTATGTAAGTAANGAAGCTTGAATAGCATTAATGGTGAAATCCAACATATAAGGCTAAACTTTAAATGCATTTGCAATAAATGACATCAAAGACATCCAACATAGCTTAAACAAGTCTTACAAGAAATTACAAGGTAATGTATAGAAGGAAATGCCAAAATATTAACTTCTCTCTCTAGCACTGTTCATCTTCTTCCTTAGACTCCTTCTCTCTATATTACAATGTATATTTCATAATGCTCAATAACAGTGGAGGAGCTTTCCCAAAAACATCCATGGAGACCTCCCCTAGTTATGTGATGTGATTCCAATCAATAGGGAGCTGAAAGAGATGAGTTGAACAGGGTAGTGCAGGCATAGCCTGCACACCCGACATCTTCTCTCTCCTCTCTCCTCATTAATGTCAAAACATCCAAAAGTCCAAGCATGGTTGAGAAAAGGGTGTCCAGTATGTAAGTAGTGTTAGGGAAGAGTGGGAGACCCCATGGTGGGACCCCCAATATTGCAAAGCTTGAAATTCAGATTTTGGCGCAATTCAGTAAAACATACTGGTAGATCGCGAAAAACCTACCGGTAGGTTTTATTCTAATAGGCAAAAAATACCGATAAATTTGCGGTAGATGCAGGTCCAGTAGTCAAAACCTATCGGTAGNATTGCAAAGCTTGAAATTCAGATTTTGGCGCAATTCAGTAAAACATACTGGTAGATCGCGAAAAACCTACCGGTAGGTTTTACTCTAGTAGGCAAAAAATACCGATAAATTTGCGGTAGATGCAAGTCCAGTAGTCAAAACCTATCGGTAGGTTTGCGGTAAATACAGGACAGTAGCCAAAACCTACTGGTATGGCCTACCAGTAGGTTTTCCCTTGTTTTGCTGATTTCTTGTTTCCTTCACCACCTGAGCTCTCCTCAAGCCTCATTTTCAACTCCATCCATCTTGGGCACCACGAGAGGGCTTAACTAGCATCATTTAACCCCTTTTTATCTGCAAACATATCAAAACTCCGTTAATATNGGTAAATACAGGACAGTAGCCAAAACCTACTGGTATGGCCTACCAGTAGGTTTTCCCTTGTTTTGCTGATTTCTTGTTTCCTTCACCACCTGAGCTCTCCTCAAGCCTCATTTTCAACTCCATCCATGTTGGGCACCACGAGAGGGCTTAACTAGCATCATTTAACCCCTTTTTATCTACAAACATATCAAAACTCCGTTAATAGCTCAACAGTGCAGTTCCGCTCATTTTAACCACAAAAGCAAGTGTAAAAGGGATATAATTGTACATAAAATATGCAATGTTTTGTGCTAATCACAATTACCATTATAAATCAATCATTCCTATATTCAATCATTGATCTCTATATATAGTTCCTTGTCGATAATGTCTTCAACTTTTCATAACTGACTAAACTAACGATGTTAATGATATTTTTTAGATTAAAAAAAAAGTGGACTTAACTCCTTACTTTTGGCCGGAATGCTATTTTCAAACATCAACAAATTTAGAGATGCTTTGAGGGAGTATGTGATTCAGGAGGGATTCCCATTGGTCAGAGATATGAATGAGGTACATATAGTGGTGTTCATAGCTATGTTAGGAATTCCAAACCCAAGGAAGCAAATGCTCCATGGGATGCTAAAAAACAAGTCAATGTGTTGAGGGCAAATCCTAACGTAACACGAATCAAGAAAATGTACCCTATTTCTTGTCGGTCATGAAGAATTTCATATCACAAATGGATCTTTTAATTATGTAGTTGATATTGGTAAGAGGAGTTGTGAATATAGGGTGTGGGAAATTAATGGCATACCTTGTAAGCATGCTACTGTAGGCATTGCTTATAGGAGGCAAAACCTTAAAGATTTTTGTGATCCGTGTTACTATAAGGATACATATCTCAAGGCTTAGAGTGAAATGATTTAACCCATTACTGGTGTCAAGTTATGGACCTAGTTAGATGGCAACTTCCCATCTCAATTTCTTCCTCCACAACTAAGAAGACTTCCAGGAAGGAAAAAGAAAAATAGAAGAAGCGATGTAGATGAACTAGCCCCATCCACCCAGTATAAAAGATCTTGTCACGTTCGATTTGTAAACTACANAATAGAAGAAGCGATGTAGATGAACTAGCCCCATCCACCCAGTATAAAAGATCTTGTCACGTTCGATTTGTAAACTACAAAGTGTATGATCATAACAAGAGGACTTGTCAGAGGGATTCAATTAGGATAAGAAAAGGCAAAAAAAAAAATAGATTGACTTCGAATGTATGTGTGTAATTACAAGTTGGATGTCACACCCTGATTTCGGGCGGACATGCAATGTGTGTTTNAAATAGATTGACTTCGAATGTATGTGTGTAATTACAAGTTGGATGTCACACCCTGATTTCGGGCGGACATGCAATGTGTGTTTCTATATCCCGCGGAAGCATTTAAAAGTGTTAACGTGATCTAGCATAATGTAGTAGACTAACCCACACAGACAAACTAAAATATTTAACATAAACACAAATATGATACAT